AAACAGGGCACTTAAAAAAATTATCAACATTAACTGTAGGAATTAATTCTATTTTTAAGCCTTTTAATAGAAGCAATATTAACATGACCTAGTCTACTATGCCACAAATCAATAGACTCAGCAATATAAGCAGAATTGAAAGTACTAGCATTATTAGTAATCTCTTGAGCAATGTTCAGTACAAATAAACCCCCAATAAGGTAGCCCTTCCCAACAAAGTCTCCCCCACGATAAATAACAATATTATCATATTCAAAAATAAGTTTAAGACTTGCTTTGTTGAGAAGTGCACCAGAAACTAAGTTTCTACGAAGGGAGGGTACATACAGAACATTGTTCAAAGCTAAGGTTTTTCCAGAAGTTAACTTGAGGAGAATTTTTTCTTTACCCATAACTCCAGTTGCAGTGGAGTTATCCATGTAGACACACTCGCCATCAACAGATTCCTAAAAGTCGTGAAACAACTCCTTGTTGGCGCAAAGGTGCCTTGAAGCGCCAGTGTCCAGTATCCCAATCAATCTTGTTAGCCACCATATTCGCCTCAATAGATGCTAGTTTTTATAAAGAGGCCATTAAAAGTAAATTAGACTCTATAGTTTCTAATCACACTTGGAACTTGTATGATTTGCCTAAAGATTGTAAACCCATAAGTAGCAAGTGGATATTTAAGAAGAAATTGAGACCTGATGGTACAATTGAGAAATATAAGGCTAGACTTGTTATTAGGGATTTTAACCAAAAGAAAGACATTGATTACTTTGACACTTATTCTCCTGTGACTAAGATAGCGACTATTAGAACTCTTGTTGCTTTAGCCGGTATTCATAATTTAGTGATACATCAAATAGATGTTAAAACGGCTTTCCTAAATGGTGATTTAGAGGAAGAGATCTATATGTCTCAACCTGAGGGATTTGTGATCCAAGGATAGGAGAATAAAGTATGCAAATTGAGAAAGTCTCTATATGGTCTAAAGCAGATACCTAAACAATGGTATGAAAAGTTTAATAACACATTAGTGGGTAATGGTTTTGTTGTTAATGCATTTGATACTTGTGTTTATTCCAAGATGATAGGATCAGATTGTGTTATTATATGTCTATATGTGGATGACATATTAATCTTTAGCCCTATTGTGAATGTTGTTAATGAGACTAAGAATTTTTTATCTTTTAAATTTAAAATGAAAGATCTTGGAGAAACATATGTGATTTTAGGGATTAAAATCAAAAGAACTTCTAATGGTTTTTCATTATCTCAATCTCATTATATTGAGAAAATGTTAAAAAGGTTTAATTATTTTGACGTAGCACATGTGAGAACTCTTTATGATCCTAGCATACACTTGAAAAAGAATTAAGGAATCTAGTATTTCTAGTATGCTAAGATAATTGGTTCAAAGGTAATCACAGGCAGACTACGTACAAAAAAATTGGTTTTAGACTTGGATTCCTCAAAACCGCAACCCTGCCCGCACTATTCTCGCAGTTTTCTAATTTCTCTCGTCTTCTATGAATGTAGTACAATAATCATTGACTCAATTCTTCACCCCTTTTGATTTTTGACACACATTCAATGGCTTTTCGGAGCAAGAAGCTCATCAGCGAAACCTACTCCGCAAAAACCCCACCCTGACACCCACCAACCCACCCCCACACACTCAAAGATCAAAAGTATTAGGTCTAAATCTTGAAACAATAGTACAAACTAACACCAAAATAGTCCAAAAGCAAGAATGGAAAATACAAGCGGAAAGAGAAGTAAACCTGCCATTGTGAATGTAGGTGGAGGACGACGACTAAATGGTGGATGAATGTGTGCTGGCGGAGATGTTTTTGGTGTATCTTGAAACTGTGTGAGGTGAGGGTGATGGAATTGTGTGCCGGTGTTCGTGAATATGAGAGCTATTCTGTTGAGTTTAAACCCCGCCAACTTTTATACTTATCTTTTTTTGCTTTTTCTGAATAAATGTCTTTTTTTGTAGTTATTATATCATCTTTAATTCCTATTGCAATTTCTTTTCCGGACGAAAACTCTTTCCTGTAAAATAATCTAAGTCGATAAATCCAAATAAGCTTGTATTAGGCAGATCAAACTGGAATGAATTAATAAAATAGGCAGGTTATATTAAAATGGAATGAATTAATAAAATAGGAGGGTCATTAACCCAAAAAGATATATGAATTGAGATTGTAAATAACGAATCATGATAAAATAATTTCTAACCAAATATTAATTTCTTTGTTTGATTACGAAGTAAAACCTTTTTCTCTGTTAAGACTATATATTTATTATATCAACCAAAAAAGATTTTGAAATGGTGTTTTATTGGTCAAATTGGGGTATATATTTAACTTAAATTAGCGCAATTTGTAGATGTACTCACTTGAGTTGTGCTCAAATTGACTCGTCAGGAAAATATGATCAATCTAACAACTTGGGCAGTTGGATGAAACATATTTTTATGGGCTAATTTTGCAAGTCATTTTGGTCAAACTTTTAAAAAGTACTAATTTTGAAACGTGTGGGTACAACAACATATCTGGTGTCTCTTGCGATTCAAAGAAGTAATTTTCTTTCTTTCTTTATATGGTTTATTCTTTCACATTTTCTAGTCCAACAATACTGAAATCTTTATTCTTCTTTTGTCATCATAAAATTTTATATAATTAAATGGCCAAAGTCATAAGCGTTCCCTTAGAATCGTTAGCATTTACCACTTTGACACTGATAATAGTGCATTCATTTCCTCGAAATCCTGAATCCGCCTCGTGTTAACAAGCAAGTTCAAAGACTACAGGAAACTGCCAAAAATACTAGCAGTCATGGACCAAAAGTTCCTTGTCATGGATGTGCCGCTCAGCTCATTGATTAGCATTTTCTTATCGTGTTATTCCTTATATGGCCTATCTTGAGCATTTCTCTAGCAGTTCCATTCAGATTCAGCTTGGATAAATCTTACTACAATCAAATACTTAAGAATAATGCAAAAATAGATCTTGACTTGCCACATAAATTCTTTGTAATCTTTGTATCCTTTCTAAGATTTTATTCTGCCTCTGGCTACAGTTCTTTAATGGCTCCCACAGCAGCGTGTATCGAGAATGAGAAGCCTCAGATTGCAAGGCGTGCCACTGAACTATCAGTATATTTCTTCTTTTTCATTGGAAGCCTTAGGTGTCGTTTGGTAGGGTGTATAACAATAGTGCTGAATAGGTGTATTAGTAGTGCAGTGATTAGTAATGCAAGTATTAGTTATGCAAAGATTATTTCTTATTCACTGTTTGGTGCGGTGTATTACAAATTAAAATGCATTGCATAATTTTGTAAGAAAAGTAGTTGTTTACAAATATGGCCTCCACATTCTTTAGCTTTAAGAGACTTTAAGGATAATTTTGTCTTTAACCATGATAATGCATGCATTAATAATGTTGGTATTGCAAATACCATAGTTTGCTATGTATAATATATTTATAGGATAATACCAAATAGGTTGTATAACTAATACTTGCATTAGTAATACATAGGTTGAAAAAGTGTACCAAACAAGAGATTACTAATACCAAAAGTTAATGCATGGATTATTTTCTCTAATGCATCCTACTTTGGTAGGATGTATAAGAATAGTGTTGAATAAGGTGTAATAGTTTTTTAAGAAAATTAGTAATTTATAAAAAATGCCCTTCACATTCTTTAGCTTTAAGAGACTTTAAGGATAATTTTATTTTTAACCATGCTAATGCATGCATTAATAACCTTGGTATTACTAATTAATATCATGGTTTGCTATGTATACATATGATAATACCAAATAAATTGTATAATTAATACTTGCATTAGTAATACATAAATTAAAAAAATATACTAAACAAGAGATTATTAATACTAAAAATTAATGCATATTTTATTTTCTCTATGCATCCCACCAATTGACCCCTGAAGCTGGAGTTAAGGGATAAATGGGAAATTTTTTGGAGGTGAAGTAGTGATAAATATCTCAACTGGACAAGTGGGAAATTAACTTTTCGGCTCGAGAGGCACCTTGTTTGACGAAAGCTGTGGACTCAAAGCTGTACATTTTGTGTTACTTTTTTTTTTAATTTTATATATGACCTTTTGAATTACTTAATCCTTCGTATTAACTAAGTCACCATATTGTTAATTTTGTGTTTGGCTATGTTTGACTGAAAATGTTAGATGCTTCGCCGTTTTTTTAATTGGAACAATTGCATAGTAAGTAGGTCAAGGTAATATCGTAAAAGAGTTAAAGGCAAATAATTAAACATAGACGTTTGGAGATGAAATTGGTTGATTTCGTTATTTTGTGTTATGTTTAATTGGGACTTTCGAGTTTTATACAACTTACTCGTTTGTCTATAAATTAAATTTCAAACACTTGGAATAATATTTAGAGATTATTTCAAATGTTTGTTAGCGGATCATTAGTCATTACATAGAATTTGAAATTTGTAAAAATGGTTGAGCTTTCAATTTTCACTCACAAAATCTAAACTGTGTTTTCATGTTCAAATTTATGTATGGACTAACAGGTAAGCACGTGAAACTCAAAATTCCATTAAAATTTACGGATAAATTAGAAATGATTTGTTAATGATAATAATTGCATTAATGTCCTAAATAACGGATGATAATTTTAAGCCATATTCGAAATAACGAATGATAATTTTAAATCATAGTCTAAATTTTGCTGGGCAACAATTCTTACAATAAAAGAGAATTTTGGAGCAATAATATAGTTATTTTCGTGTGACATATAAGTCACGGGTTGTGAACCATAAAATTATCCATTGATATGCTATTCTTCCCCCAACTTTACAGGATGTTTCGTGTATGAGATTGTCTTTTTTAACTATTTTCTTATAATACAAGTAGCAGTTCCTTTGACTGGCCCGCATTTCGCTGTCCTTGTCCTGGTTGGCTATATTTTCTACTTTCTTCTTTTGTCTTCTCTTTTTCACACAAAAAATTAAAAGAAAAATTTTATATTAATATACATCTTTTACGTATTTCAGGTTCTAGCCTCTGTGCAAAGAACCTAAATCGACATCAATGGAAGATAGGAATTTGATTTCTGTAAAACCTGTGACCAAAAGATGGAAAGAAGGTCAACAAAAAGTAGGACATCATAAACTAAAACCTACTTCATATTCTTCTGCTTCCACATCAACTCAAACTCATCCTTCACCCAAGGTTTCATTTCTACTTTATGCCTTTATTTGGGTACTTTTTTTTTTTTTTTTTTTAAATTTGGAAGACTTTTGTCTAGTGATTTTTTTTTTTGTAAATAATATTGTGTTTGTTTTGGTTGCAGATTAAGAGGGTGCAGTTGGATAGGAAAAATATGGTTCCTAAAAAGCCTAGAAGTGTTAAATCTAAGGCGAAGCGAGTGAGAATATTCACTAATTCTTTTGTGTTCTGCTGTTTTGTTTGAGGATCTAGTGAACCTGATGGTTGATTTCCTTTATAGATATTTTTATGTATGATATTCTGATTAGATTTGCCCCTAATTGCTCATTAGTGTCTGGTTGAAATCCATTAATTGCCTGTGGATGTAGCTGATAGATATCATTTCTTGCTAGTAATTGTAGGATATTTTCAGTTTTATTTATATATTTATTTATTTATTTTTATTTTGGTTAATGAATGAGATATATCCCGAGCAACCAACTTAACATAGTTCTGGTTCCGGAAAGGGGTCTGGATGGGGAGGGGATGATGTGTCCTTAGGCGATTGCACGCTCTAGACGTGTAGCACTGGCACGGTTGTCCTTCGTCTGCAGCTGCTTCTACGAGTTGTTTCCCTCCTTAAGTTTACTTGTACCGAAGGAGAAGAATGAAAAGGGGCCGCTATTGAGCCTTAGTTTGAATCTGAGTGTGAAACGGTTTTTGAATCTGTAGTCTGGAAGATGCTCATGACCTTGTTCATAGAGTTAAATTGATCTACTCGACATTGAGCCGTAGTTTTCCTCATTCATCCTTGCTCCTTTCATTTCTTGACGTTCTTTATAGTTGGAATACATGTTAGGTGAAGATACACACAAGAGTTAAAAAATCTAGCTTCTTACGAGAACTTAGAACCTCTATGATACTTAATGAATTAGTTGATGTAGTCTACGTGCGCTTCCTCTACCTGATAATGCATTAAGCTCTTACAAGCACATCCAATTACCTATTTTCTATTTAGTTATATGGACCTCTATTAAGATGCAAGGTTTGAGGCTATTGGCTTGTATATAGAGTGTTTTAGTGTACACCGGATAACATATAACGTTTGATGAAATGATGTGAACAATCTAGTGTAAAATTTGTAGACTTAGAGAAAAGGCAATGCCATCCTTATTGGAAATTTGTAGACTTAAAGCTTGGAAATGCAACTGCATGGAGAAGCTAGTGGTAATTCACTGTTTGTCGCCAAAGGAATTTCTACAAAGAGATTGTGTAGGCCTGTAAGAGAAGATCTTAAAAGCACTTGATTTGCTCCCATTGTTTTTGTTTTGTTCTTTTTGTTGTCGTATTTTATTTTTTGGATTATGGTGTCCAAGACAATATGCTCCTGTTGTTCACTTGGTTTGGTTGTATAGGACGTGTTTCACCATGTCTAAGCACAAATAATGTTACTTGATTTAATTGATGTGTAATTGTCAGTGAAGTGGCTCTGTTGTATTACTGGAATGCCTTGCAGAAAATAAGTACAGTTTTACTTCTCTATAGGTCTCTTTCACTTCTTCAGTTGGAGACATAGCATCTCCTTTGAAGCCTGCATTTGTTTCTTACTTGCTGATAATATGTAGTACTCTATGTTGATTCTTTTTTCAAATTTTTTTGAACTACTAGCTAGCCAGTTATAATTTATATTTATGGCACACTTGAAATTTCTGTACACTCTTGTATGATGCTCTTCTGTTATTGATTAACTATGAAACTATAACAGAGAAACTTTTTAATGCTTTACAGGTGAAATCTAATCATCCCAGAAAGGCTGAGAGGTTGGCATTTTATTTGATTGGATATTATTCTTTCCTTCCCCCAAATCTCCACTTCTTTCTCTTTCTTGATAGTAACTCAAACAAATTTCTGAATGTTTTGAATTTATAGCAGTAAACTTAAGGGGACAAATAAGAGGACAAGGATAAATGACCTATATGATGATGTTGAAGCTAAATTTTCTGTTATGGAGCGAGCAGAAAGGATTTTGTCAAGCCTAGCAGATGAATTTCCCAGCTTTGCTAAGTGTATGCTCCCTTCAAATGTTGCTCATGGATTTTGGCTGGTAAGCCTGAAACCACATAACCTTTTTGGAGCTAAAAAGTAGACTAAATATCTTTGTCTTGGAGCTTCATAGAGATGGAATTTAAACAAACTATTTTCTTCTAACTTCGATTTTTTTCTTCCTTTTTGCTACGGTAGCATCTTCCAAAGTCATTCTGCAATATGCATTTACCAAGTCATGATACCACCGTCATTTTGGTTGATGAATGGGGTAATGAGTACAAGACAAGTTATCTTCTAGAAAGGAATGGTCTAAGTGCTGGTTGGAGAGGATTTTCCATGTCTCACAGATTACTTAAAGGAGATCTTCTGATTTTTCGCTTGATTGAACCTTGCAAATTAAAGGTATCAAAATCTTTATGCATACTTAGTTAAGCCTAAATATTTCGTGTTATTGGACGAACGAAGATTTTTTTTCCACCCTAACAAAGAATATGTTTGTAATTACACATTTAATGTTCGTATAGAGTATTATATTGAGTTTGGTAAAGAGGCATCTAAATTAATTGTTTAAATATTTGGAGAAGTGTAGTAGGTAGTTGATAGGATGTCATATTAAGTTTGAATAACAAAATATACTACTATATAATTGTTTGACATATTGGGAGGGAGGGGTATTTTCAACCAAAGGAATTGGACGGACCTTGACTTTCGCTGAGGCTAGGATGGTTTGTACACGGCTATCGGACTGTGAGAATTCAATCTGACTTTTAAAATGCTGACAGTTGGAAATTGCCAATGTTGTCTTACCATGAAATTAGATAAAGACTACAGAGGAATAAAGGCAGCATGGGTAGCTGGTAGCAATTCAATGAGTATACTTGGTTACACGTAGAAACTGCCAATCTGGAGTTCCTCCATTTTACTAAAGGGTTTAAATTGGTTTGGGTCTATGAACCAATTAGTGCAAATGCATTTCATTCTTTTTTTGTTCTTTTGGATTGTGATTCATACTTCCCAAGGAAACATTTATTTTGAAAAGGATAAATTAGTTGAGCCTGGTAAATTTCTCACAGTGGCATCAACTTGCTGTTCTTGATATCATTTAGATTATCATTCTAGTGAATGGTCTCTACCAGTCTTGTTTGTCTGATATATAGAGCTAGATTTAACATGATGGTCCAATTCGCCAATGTGGCCTACTTGTTATTGCCTTTTTTCAAGAAAGAAATATATCTAGTGAAATCCATTTTGTGACTATTTCTTTTGGGCCAATAGGGGTTGATATTGCAGCTAAGGCTAACAGGTTAAGGGGGCAAACTCTGTCTGAATTCTGCTTCTTGTAAAATTAAGGTTGTAGCATATGTTAATCTTACTAATATAACTGGCTACTGGTTGAATATCTCGCAAATTAAATTGGAAGTCAATTGCCTCGGCAGTTATTGAAAGAACTTGATTGCGGACAATGAAAATTGTAGGAGGTAAACTGAGAGAGGAAAGTAATAGGAACTATAATTTGCTTGGAATCTGGGAGAGTATGATCAAGTGGGGCTTTTTTGAACTCGTACAATTCCTGCACTTATACGCTCGACCATGATAACCTTAACACTTGGTTTTATTATGTATTTTCTGATTATTAACAATGATGTTTCTAGGTCTATATAATCCGAGTAAACGGTCGAGACGTAGTAGATGCAGCTCTTTGCCTCATGAATTTTGACGCTTTGAAGAAATCAACAGATCTTGGTAATCTTGTCCTTTCTACTTGTGCACTTGTGTTGCTTTAAAGTAACGGATTTCCACACTTGGTTGTTGATCTCCCTTCTTTTCCTCTTTTTTCTTTGAATGAGAAGATCTTGCACAGAAAGATAATAGGAAGCGGAAAAAAGCAAAGCGTTTGGTAGAGCCTTTTTACGTCGATTTTTCTAAACCAAAAGAGTATATTCAGAATGATAGCCATAGTGCCGTTGATTTGAATGTTTCACCTTCAGTGCACCGATCTGAAACTAACAGTGAAGTTCTGGATTCCGAGGTTCCAGAAGGTATGAGATACTCTTAATTCTGTTGCATATAAATGTGTTGGGAAACCTTTATGATATACAGGGTTCATTGCAGGTTCGGATGTTATCAACCGCTTGCAATCTAATGAAATATGTTGCTCTGAAACATCGTTTTTACATGATAATCCTCAAAAGAGCATAAGTTGTAGGTAGATTGCAGAGGACTTTTGACGATTTATTTGAACTAGCAAATTCTATCATGAGAAGCTCCAGAGAAATGCTACATACACAACATAGAGTAATATCCAGAAGAAAGATTTTGAACTGAAGCATCTGATGAGTATATATGGCAGATGGCATGAATGATGCAGAAGTTGACTCTTCCAAGTGAATATTTCTTTTGGATGTATAATGTTTTTGTGTTTCTAACACTTCACTGAGTTCGTTCATTAAAGAAAATACCTTGTCTAATAGGATTGGAAGATGTAATTTTGAGATGATAGCATGATTATACTTTTCATATTTGTACATAGACGCACACTGATGTATTTGGATATCTGCAAAACACTGACCAATGAATTTCTTATTCATTTGAAATTTACAGCTTCTCAAAATCCGTGTCTACTTCAAGTATCTTTTGAAATTTACAAATTCTCCAAAATCAGTATTTAACTTAAAGTATCTCTTTTTTTAGATAATATGCTACTAATGGCAATTTTTTTTAATGTTGAGCGGCTTGGTCAAATGAGATTAAAATTACTACCGGGTGAGATGATCTTTTTTATGAAATTCTGTATCTTATTACATTACCACCTCTACTTACAAAACGTTTCAACCAAAAAAGAAGAAAATAGGAAAATCTAGAGNCCCAAAAAAAAAAGGAAGAAAAAAGTCGGTATTTGTTCTACGATACTATATCTTGGTTCCAAGGGAAGAGAGTGGAAACCAATCGAAAAAATTAAAGAGAAAAAAGGGAATATATAGAAGTTTTTTTAAAAGTCGAGGGAGCAAAGTACTTGTTAAAAATTATAAGTTCTGAAGAAAATATTAAAACATAATCAACTTTAGGACAGAAAATGAAATGGCTTTGCTAGTAGATCCTGACTTGGAAGATTAGTTACGGTGCAAATCTAAGTGATAAAATGCTAACACTTATATTTAGGGTTCGTTTGGTGGAATGTATTAGAGAAAATAATACATGTATTAATTTTTTTTATTATTAATCCCTTATTTGATAGTGTTTTTCAACTTATATATAATTAATACATGGTATTAATTATACATATACCTAATACACGGTATTATTTATACGCACTATTCAATATTATTCTTACACATAGCAAATCATGGCATTAGTAATACTATAATATTTAATATATGAATAAGTATGTATAAAGATATAATTGCACTTTCAAAATCTTTAATACACCAAACCAAATAGTCAATAAAAAATAATCCTAGCATAATTAATACACTCTATTCAGTACTATTCTTATTCAGCCTACCATGTCTATTTGATCTAAACTTAATTTTCATCCTTCGGTGTACTACCACACTAGAGAGTTAAACCGCACTGCAACGAAAAAGCATGCAAGGGTTTTGAACCTGCTATCTCCCATTGGGGGGATTTTCCGCTCAACTAACTCCGGCTACCCTTACGGGTTATTTAAACTTATTTTTTATTTCTGTTTTATCATTTAATTATGATAAACTACTGTTGATTGTTACAAATACAGAGTGAATATTATCGTCTAATTGGTACAAAGTTTTCACATACGGTCATAGGCTAAATCAAGCAGGTTATTTATCTCTTTTTTCATGTTAGTAATGCATGTTTAGTGTTGAATTTAGTCTAAGTAGAATGTGATTATGCTAGTATTTTCTACATTTCTTACATTAACATTGATCAAAACTTTTAGGCTCGTTGACAAGTTATGCTGGATTAGTTATGCTCGAATTAGTTATCCTGACATTATTTTTTATTGATTGTTTGGTATGTTGTATTAATAATGAGAATGTCAATTTTACTGCTTTATCATGAGATTATTAGTCCACCCTCTGACAAAGTGGCAGATATAAGTTATCCCGGTATTATTTTTAATCCTTAGATAATTTATCCTAGAATTAGTAACCAAACAAGGGATAAGACACTACTAAAAATTTTATCCCAAAATTATTTTTGCTCATCTATCATACCAAATCACCCCCTTAAAACTTTATCAATTGTGAAATTAAAATATAATATTTTATGTTTAAAACTAAAAATTGTAGAGTTTAATAAGTACGCATTTCATACTGTGTGTTGTGTGGGGGTAGGGAGTGGGTGGGCAAAGAGAGTAGGGTGAGTGGCGTTTGAAATTCAAAAAAATCCAAAAGTGGAGCCAAAACAGAACAAAACATTCTCCATATATCGAGGACCTAAACAGTCTTCTGTAGCTTGTTTGTACGATCATCTTCTTCTTCGTCCCTCTCCGAACTTTCTCTCTCTTCTGTTTATCTCTCCTTTTGGGTTTTATTCATCGTCGCCTTGTTGCTGTTTCCTTAAGAAAAAATGGTGGAATCAAAGAAGAAGATGTTAGCGTACGAAGAAAGTCGTTTGAAAAGATTAGAAGAGAACAAGAAGAGAATGGAAGAGCTCAATCTCAGCAAGCTCGTTCAAGCTGTTCGTACTGCTACCAGTCCTAAGCCTTCTCCTGTACGACTCTCTTTCTCTCTGTCTATTTTGTTTTAACAAATGTGTCTCCAATAGAGTAAAGTGAATATTGATAATTTATATAACCTAGATTAGAATTGAGGAATAGTTGATTGATTGATTGATTTCCCGGTGATCTGTTAGATGAAGAAGGTGAAGCCGAGGGTTCGGCAGGAGGTAGATCGCTCAGCTGTGAGAAGATCCAATCGTGTTGCGGATAAGCCTCCTCCAAACTACAAAGAAGTAAGATATTTCCTCTCTGTATCTTACCAGGAGTACTTTATATTTCCTTTGGACTTTCGTTTGTTTGATTTTGTTTTCCCCGCCTAGTATTTTCACTTACCAACTCCTCTGTTTGGAGTTTTTGAACTTGAATGTTATGGGATTTTTGTCTCTTTTTTTTCTTCTTCTTTTTTTATGGTGGAAATGATCTTAGCATACCGAGACAATTGTGCTGAATTGCCAGCCATAGCCATATTGCAAACGTTCTCAAGATACTAGTATTAAGTTTAGGATTCAAGTTATAAGCTGACAGTATAATGATTTTTTACACCAGTAGTGTAGATCTTAGATACTACTAATCAATAAGAAATAGGTTTACCTACCTTCACCTTTTAGATGACCTAATTGAGAAAATATTCTTTTCTTCTAAGACGTTTGCATGTCGTTTCAACATCTGATGCATATTGGACGTGTATGAATTTTTGATTGATCCTGTTTTCTTCTCCAAGTAATATTCCAGCTATATAGTGAAGTATTCAATAATACTGTGCCACTTTCTATTCAGTATGTTTTATTTTTACTTTCCTTCTAATTGATAGTATATCATACAGTGGCGGAGCTACATAGCTTCAAAGTGGGTGTCAATTAATACCCCTTTGCCTGAAAAATACACCGTTTAGATTGGTAAAAATTACAATATATTATGGATTGAATCCCCTTGACTTCCTTGTGTATTTACTTTGTTAAATTTTGACACCCCTTGTGAAAATTCTTGCTCCGCTACTGATCATATCATATGATCAAGGTCATTGATGTATGTATTTCTTGATTCTGACAGGTCCCTATTGAACCTTTGGGAAAGCCAAGGAGGNTGCCTTTTTTTATAATATTCAATAATACTGTGCCTCTCGCCATTCAGTATGTTTTATTTTTACTTTCCTTCTAATTGATAGGATTATCATATGATCAAGGTCATTGATGTATGTATTTCTTGATTCTGACAGGTCCCTATTGAACCTTTGGGAAAGCCAAGGAGGTTTGACTCATAAACAAATATTTCCTTTTTTGCTTGACCACTTCAGTGCTGCATTTTCAGAAAATCTATGCCTTACACTTGACTTTCTGGTTTGCAGCTACAAGAGAAGAGATTTGTTAAACCGGGTGTATGCTGATGACGAAGATAGGCAGTATGCTATAGAAAGAGCAGAGCAGTTACAATCAGAGATAGATGCTGATTTCCCAAGTTTTGTGAAACCTATGCTCCAATCACATGTTACTGGTGGCTTTTGGCTGGTAAGTGAAAAGTTATAAAGTTCCTCACTGAGTTGTTTCCTAAAGCTTAAATAACTCTTAAAAATTTTATGTTACAGTTTTGGTCATAGTTTATTGATTTTTAGTGTGGTTCTTTTTAGGGTCTGCCTGTTCATTTTTGCAACACACATCTACCTAAACGTGATGAATTTGTCACCTTGATCGATGAAAATGAAGATGAGTTTGAGACAAAATACCTCGCATTAAAGAGGGGGCTGAGTGGTGGATGGAGGGGTTTCGCCATTGATCATGAATTAGTTGATGGTGATGCACTGGTTTTTCAGTTGATTGAGTCAACAAAATTTAAGGTAAATTAAACTGAACTGAGAATACTATATCATTCCATCCTCATTCTCTATAATTAGATGAATTTATGAATACATTGAAATATATTTCTGTGAGTTGGACCCTCCCCCGGATTTTTACTCCTACATGGTTTCTCTACTTGGAATTTCAGGTTTACATCATAAGGGTTAATCAAGCAGAAGATTAGGAGACAGAAGAGACGCAAAATATTTATTGAGATGGGTGGAACGTGAAATGAAATCAAGTAAGCAGCTCCATTTCCACAGCTTTTTGCTGCAAGAACTGTGAATTTACAGTTTTGACAGTAGTTGAGCATGGTTTACATGCACATATCGAGGAATCTTTTAGGCTCCACAATTTTTGTTGGCCATCAGAATGTCCAAAGACTTAAAAAGATCAATACAACGTAAATGGATATTTAAAAACCGACTAAATCGATCGAACTGAACCGTACCGAACTGATTTTTAGGTTTCTTTTAATAAAACCGTAGGTTTTTACATAAATATATAACTGTACCGATAATTAGGATATGTTTTTTATTTTACGAAAATAAATCGAAAAAATACCGAATCGTACCATTCATGAAAACAGTTATCGGTATATATTTATATATTAAGTTTAAAAATAATAAAGCATTAAATTTTTTCTTGGTCATGAAAACAGTTACAAGCCACAAGTAAATAAACTCAAAATTCTAGTTCCCAAACCTATTATGCTACTCCGATTGAAATTAAATTATTTCCATCATATTCACTAGCAAGATACAAGATATTGTAGCGATTATGAGTAGCAAAATACAATGTATTGAATATATTTCCTTTCGTATGTTTTAGATTCATCTTTTTGAATATTTAATCTTCTATAGACATTATTCTTGAGTTCCAACTTTGTTAATATCTTTCCACTCGTGCGATTTATATTTTCTTTGTATTTGCTTAGTTTCTTTTATGCTGATGTGAATAGCTGATGGATCTATACTCCGGCAATCTTTCATATTTTCTTAATTCATCACCCTTTAAACTGTAAAAGAGAGTTTTGCTAAATCTTATAAAAGTATGTATGTTGTTGTATTTTACTTTTAC